TTCTAGTTTGAGGATAAAGGTAAACTGAAAGAAGGAAAAATGTTAGAAGGATTGAACATGTCTGGAGAGGCTGAGACTCAGAAGAATGGAGGGAATGTGGAGTGCAGGGTGTGGTGGACTGCATTACTATTCACAAATACTTGCTGTCCCTCCCACTGACATCAGGCTTGGCCATGTGAACCACTCTTGGCAGCAGCTTTAAGAGCCACACTCTTTTCTGCCATGACAATTCGCCATTTTAGAATGAGGGTCCTCAGTCAGCCAGGGTCTCAGGGCTCAGATGATGTGAGGCACAGACACCACTGATAGACATGTAGTATGGGCAAGATCTGACTCTCGCCTGCCCACCAGTAAGAGGTGTGGCCTGTACCCTGTACAAGCTGGGTCAGACATAAGTATACAGCCATCCCAGCCTGTCTTCTAGTACAACTGCTCATCGCTTCCACCTTACAGTTTGGGCCAATACTCTGTGAGAATTGTGTGCATATTTCTGGGAGCTCTTAAACCCAACACAAATTCAACACACTTTCTTCCCCACCAAAGTAACTGGGATGACCGGAAACATGTCAACATGAAACACTGTCTAGAATAGGCTTCTCAGTGATACAATGAGCACATCCCAGACCCTAAAAATATAAGATGAACAAGAAATAGTTTCAAAGCTAAGGATATAGCTCAGGGGCAGAATACCTGCCTAGCATGTGTAAGGCCATGAATACAACAGGTAGGAGGGAGGATTTTGCTCTTTGTTAAGGCACTGATAGATTTTAGAATTGCTATAGTGGCACAACCTAGCCTCTACTTACTGATACAAAGAGGGGCCATGTGACAACAATAAATACAACAGTAACTACATTCAACTAGAGGTCAATAGGTATGAATGCTATCAGAACAAGCATGGGTATGTATTTGGTGAGAATAAATTCTCACCTGTGAGAATTTAGAAGGCAGTACGTAAACCCACAAAACTAAAGCAAGACAGTATAAAACAAGATGTTAAAGGGCCAGCCAGATAGCTCAGTGGACTACAGGGGTTTGATCCCCAGCGTGCCTTGCTGAGAGGGCATCTGAGACCGGGCATGGTGGCACCTGCCTTTAATCCCAGAGCTTGGGAGGCTGAAAGCAGGAGGATCACTATGAGTCTAATCTGTGTATTGAGACCCTAGAGACCCTGTACTAATTTAAAAAAAAAAAAAAACAGGATATTAGCAACATGTGCTGGTGGCTGCTGGATGCATTTGAGAAGCCGCTAGAAAAGGAGATGAACTCAGACAAGATTCGAGCACTCTGTAAGCAGGAATGGAGTACAGAGACAATGTACAAGGGGTCTGATCCCCGGGACTGCTGTGCCGGCCCAGCCCCCAAGATTTGAAACTGGGCAGTGGTGGCACCTGCAATCCCAGCACTTGGGAGGCTGTAAATAGGAGGATCACTGTGAGTCCAGTCTGGTAGTAAGCCCCTGAACACCCTGTAGACAGTTCCCTAACAGGAAAAAAAAAAAGGGAACATACAAATTTAGGGATTAGTGGGGTTAAACAAAGCAACTGTCTCTCAATCCTAACAAAAATTAAAACATTTTTTATAATAAAGCGCCTTGAAAAAAAAATCAGCCTTGACCTAGGATCAAACATCAAGGGATATAAACCTATTACTAAAACTTCAGGACAAATGAGGATGTTACCTAGCATATGTTTTCAATTGCATGAAAATGTTCTGCAAAAGGAGGAAAGGTGTGAGTGTCCTACTGACACCCAGTAGGCCAAAACTACTCACAACCCAGCTGAGAGCAAAAGGCAAAGTCATGAATGCAGGCAAGAACCATGGCAAAACATTGGCAACCAGCACATGGAACACTTGGTACCAATGCAAAGTGGCCTGTATTTTTCTAAGAATTACACTGCCCAGACATCAGCTTTGCTAAGGGAGAGTTTGGGCACTTAACCTCAGGGAGCTCCTCAAAATGTCTTCTCAAGGGGCCAGCATCTATTGTAGCCTCCCTTTCTACAGAGAATTCTATCTGTGCCCCACTGCACATACAACAGCTATGCAGGGTACACATCTTCCTGTAGAAAGAAAAGGAGATGTATCCAGACCTGACACAGATTCTACCACACAGCAACCAAGAAAGTGAGCTTCATGCTGAGCTTGGGAGGGTCTCTTGGATTGACTCCCTTGAGGAAAGTGAAGAAACTATACCCTTTGGAAGAGAGTGATCTAACACTGGGTGAACAGAAAGGGAGACTGGGGCTGGGGATATAGCTCAGCAGCATAAGCATAGCAAGCACAAGGTTCCAAGTTCGATACCAAGTACCGAAAAAAAGGGAGACTCTCAGTCATTAGTGTCCTGCAAGTACTCCTGCAGACCCTCTCAGACACTCAGCAGCACAACAAATCTTAAGTTGGGCATGGCCAAGGGACTTGCTTTGGCCTGTGGTCCATGAGAAGTAAAGGGGATGTACTAGGAGCTAGTCCACATGGGAGTTGCTGAGTTTGTTTACCTGACTGATCTGTGAGAAGCATAGGACAAGATGGAGGCTGGGAGAGACCTTTCCGGCAAGAGCAAGGTTCCAAGTTCAGTCCCCAGTACCAAAACAAACAAACAAAACCCCAAAAAACAAAGACAGAGGCCCTCAACTGAAGCTCTTTATGTGAGCCACAGTGGGTTGTTTTAGGGCTCATTGAAAGCTCTAAAAGGTTGGCCATCACTGGCTTACAGTGACCAGAGCACCCCTACAGCCTGAACTGAGCAGGCAGCAGGGGCAAGAAAGAAACTTACACTGGGTTAAAACCTTTTCAATGTTGGAGTGGCTAGCTACAGCAGGGTAGCTCAGCCTTTCCTGAGAGCTAGGAGTGACACAGCAGAAGCCAAATCAGGAAAGGCCCCTTCCACCCAGCAAAGGAGTTCAAAACTCTTTTCTGCCCTAAGACAAAGCCAGTGAAGGCTTCCAACCTGGGACACTAACACCAACAGATCTGTTATGTTTTGGATGAAATATGCTATTTCTGGACGTAAGGAGAAAATCAGCCCAAGCCACATAAAGCAGAGAGGAACACACAAAACTCTCACACAAAAGATACACACTTAACACTAATTCTGAGTCTTTAAGCTTCTAAATACAAGATGAAAAATAAGTAGAAGTTCACCTGAAAACATTTCTCTATGTACAGGCACCACCTGTGCAGATAACTAATATTTACAAGGAAGCAGACCAGAATACAGCAAATACAAGGAAATATAATAGAGATCCAAGATTCAATTTCTAGCTGTCTCTGTTACCAGAGAAAGGCACTGAAACTTTCTGGGCCTATTTCCTCATATGCTAGGCCAGGGTAGTAATATAAGCCTCTCAAGATAGATGCAGGGAGAAAACAATATACATAAATTCCTTACAATACTTGGCATTTGAGAGGTGTAAAATGCATGAAGCTTATTTTTGTTATTGTCATCCATAAGTGTTACTTAGAACACTAGTTTCCCTAATTACAACCGAAAATGACTCAGGCAACAGGTAGAAGAGAACGTCGCCTCCTTGGGAGAAGTAACTGGATCCTATCATCACCGCAGCCCTCCCTTTCCCGACCCGGCTCAGTGCCCAGCTGGCAGTAGCCAGTTATCCTCGGCCGGGTGGTGAAAGCTGCCAGGTGAGTGCCCGGAGTCAAGAGAAGCTGGCGGATTTCCCACTGATACCAGCAGCCATTGGTTTCTGAACTCTCAAAGCCACAAACAACTTAAAGCCCCCAGGCCACGGACCCATAGTCCAAATCCCAGTTTTAGGGATGTCCAGATTAGAACCCAAGGGTTTAAACTGCCGCAGGTGAGCCTCAATCCCAGTTCCTGACAAAAGGCTTGGGGCAGAGCCGATTTCTAACCCTGTGGTGGTTGTCCTCCTGAACCCCGTCCAGCTCCTCGCTAGAAAGTACACCCGGTCCTACCGAATCACACTATTCCATCCCGGCCTTACATCAAGGGTTCAAGGAAACTGAGGAAGGGCCGGGCTGGGGACTGCTCGAGGACCACATCCCTACACTAACTTCTGGAAGCCCACGGTAGACCAGCGCCACTCGCAGACCGGGAACGCAAGTCCCAGGCTGTGCACATTTGACCCGGGCGGCCCAGCCGGGGGAGAAGCTTGGTTCCCCGCTCCTGCGTTCTCTTTTCTTTCCTTCGCTGCCCACTTTCGTCTCTGCAGAATGGGGGAGGACCTAGGATGCGGGAGAGGAAGCCACTTACAGCGTGCAGCGCTTCCTAGAGGCTGCCCAGGCCAGCACCGCGGGAGGGCAAAGGAAGGGAGGCTCGCGGGGCCGCGGCGCGCACCAGCGCTCCCGGCAGGCCTGGGCGGAGGACGCCGGGCGCTCCCTGACCCGGACCCCGCATCAACCCCCGCGGCGCCCGTCCAGCGGCAGCCCGCTCCCCACCGTCCCGGGCGAGATGGGGTGGGGCCGTGCCCGCCGCGCACAGGCGAAATCGCCCCAGACAAACTTCGGCGCAGGCCGGGCCGACCCCTCCCAGACCCCGGCCCAGCCCCCAAGCGCACTCTGCCGCGTGCGCCCGGAAGTGCGGGGCGCCGGGCCCAGCCTCGCCCCCTCGCGGGAGCCCACACCCCCGCATGCCCGACCTGCCCGACCGCCCGCGTCCCACAGCCCGGCCCAGCCAGAACCTGGGTCCGCCCCCGAGCGAGCGGGCGCCCGTCACTGGACGTCAAAGCCCAAGACGTCAGCCCACAATGCACCAGGCGGGCCGCTGGACGCGCGGGAGGGGAGAGGCCGGGAGCGGGCGGAGAGGCGCGCGGGGGGTAGGACGGCCCAACTGTAGGAGTGCGGCAGAGCATTACCTCATCCCGTGATCCTCCGCGAGCCCGGAGAAGAATCTTCTAGGGAGGGGTCTCCATGGCGACAGGCGGGCCCGCCCTCCTGAGAGCGACGCGAGCCAATGGGAAGGCCTTGGGGTGACATCATGGGCTATTTTTAGGGGTTGACTGGTAGCAGATAAGTGTTGAGCTCTGGCTGGATTAGGGCTCAGAGTTGCACTGAGTGTGGCAGAGGCGGCGCGGCGAGAGTGGAGTGCGCGCGCTCAGGGAAACAGAGGGACAGATTGACTCAGTCCGCCGGGCAGCAGAGAGGTCCGACCTGCAAGTCTTCTTTTCCTCCCACTTCCCCGGCACCTGCCCGGAGCAAGCGCCTGTGGCTGCCGGTCCGCGATTTCGGAGAGTGCCTGGAGAGCCCGCGGCCCGGGCGCGGCTGACAGCGGAGAGCGGCGGGAAGTTTCCCGGCCCGGCGCCCGGGGACGAGTGGCCCCGCGGCCCGGAGCGAACTTTTGCGGAGCTGAGCTCGGAGCTGAGAAGGGCCGCGCAGAAGGGATCGTCCCGGAGGCGCCCGCGAGCGGCCACTGCCCCGGGAGGAGCCGGCGCCCGGCACCCCGCGCCCACGGGTGGGAGGCGGCGCGGCCGG